GCGGCGGTCTTGGGGTAAGTCCTGCCTTCCCCTCTTCGCGGGTCCCAGGACACGCACCCCCGCCCCGGCGTCCGCACCAGCGTCCAGAGCGCCGGCCCGCGGTGGCGCCGTGCTGTGCCTTAGCCTGTACCTCCAGTTAGGCAGCTGCCCTCTTACAAGACTCCAGTACGACTGGGGACCACCTAGCTTCTAGTCCTTAGAAAAGCCTGTGACGTAGCCGGGAATAGAGGCGCACGCTTGAGAGACCCGGGACGCCGAGGCAGGAGGGTCGCAAGTTCAGGGCCAGCCTGGGCAACTTAGCGAGACCCTGTCTAAAAAAGGGCTGGGGATACGACTCAGGGGTAGAGCGCCCCGGGTCCAACCTTCAGTGCCTCCATCCCACAAAAACCAAAATACTGAGGTAAAGTACATTCTTTAGAGACGGATATGCTGTGATGAAATTGAGAACATGTACGTGTAGTTATGAATTCTATAACTAGCATGTTTCCAAATACTAGCGAATTCCGTTACCAATAAGAATTTAACATTTAAATATATTTAGTACTTGAAGTGAAACTTGGCTCAAACTCATATTCAAACCCTTCTTTCCTTGAAAGACACCCTTCCTGGTAAAGAAGATACAAAAAATGATGCTGCTACAGTTTTTGCTAAGCATTCAGCACTGTGCTAGGTATTACCCATGTGGTTCCTTTTCTCAGACTCTACAAAATATGGTATTATTGATAATACCTAATGTGTCATTTTTACTGAGTACTTACTATCTACTGGATTCTGAGTAAACCTAAGTGCTTTTATTTCAATATCATGAGTGAGGAAACCGAGGCTTCCAGAAGTTAAATAACCTAAGGTCACATAGCTAATGAGACATAATCAAGTCTTAAATCCTGAACCAGTCCCTTTTGCGTTTAGACCGATTTAAGTACCCTCTCTTTAGAAAGAAACAAAAAACCCACTCATTTGAATACTGTTCTAGCTGTTGTTCATTTTCTTCTAATCATTGCATGTTCATACTTCCTGCCTCATTTTCTAACTTTAATTCTATTCAGCTGAATATTCTATTCACTCCTACCACTACACGGAAGTGTATTATACGTAATACAATTTCTAATCAGATTTGAATTCATCAAAGGAACTGTGCCAATTAATTATTTTTAAAATGCCTTAGCACTTACTGGGATTGTGGTTCAGATGTAGAGCATCCACCTAGCATGCGTGAGGGCACTGGGTTCGATCCTCAGCACCACATAAAAATAAAGATATTGTGTCCACCTAACTAAAAAATAAATATTTGAAAACAATGCCTTAGCACCTAACAGTTGGATGAGGTCAAAAGCCTTTATAACCATTAGATGATTAAAAATTGAAAAATTTAAATCATCAAAATTATGGAGATATAATAACTGTAGCAAAACTTCCAGCAATTTGCCAGAATATTTTTTCTCAATTTGCTGTATTATTTTTCAATAATTAGATAATGCTGGTTATGATAGAAATGTTGTAGTCATTTCAATAAAGATTCTTCTTAAGTTATTTTATCAAAAAGATTATTATATACAAGGCCCTTGGTTCAATCTCCACCCCAACCCCCAACCCCCAAAAGTGGTTCTTCCTCATAGTAGTGGCTTAACTCAAACATTAAATGAAGCCAGGTATAGTGGCATATGCCTATAATCCAAGCTAATTCAGAGGCTGAAATGGGAGAATTATTTGAGGGGTTTGAGACTAGCATGGGCAACATACACCCCAAAGACAAGAAGCCACTGCCACAATTTATTGTGTGCAGTTAGACTGCAAATGCTAGAATTAAATTTGTATATTGTTTGCATTATCACTAGGTTTATGTTTTCCTCGCAAGATGATAATAAGTAACATTGGAATGCTAACTGTATGTCAAGTATTTGACAATGATTTCATTTAATGTTTAAAATAGTTATTTAGTGGTTAAAAAATACTCATATTTTGGAGTGAAATAGTCTTGGATCCAAGTTCTACTTTTATCACTACATGGTTTATGGGCAAATATCCTAACTTCTCTAAGCCTCAAATTTTTCATCTAGAAAATAAGGTAAAATACCCAACTTACTGAGATGTTTTGAGAATTAAATGAGATTATGTCTGACACATTATCAAGTGCTCAGTGTGTGATTGCAATTATAAGGCAGCTGCAACTTACCTGACTGCCCTGACTTGAGTTGCCAGTGGATTTGCTGTTAGATCAAATAGACAAATGAATCTCCAAACTACTTCTGCTTCTCTTGTATGATTCTATGCACATTGTGCCAGAGAAGAATTATTTCAGATACCCATAGAATTTATTAGATATATTTACAAAATATAATTTTAAATCTCAGATATTTTATTCAAATATGAATTTTACTTTTGCTTTTCTGTGATGATGGGGATTGAACCCTGGACCTTGTGCATACTTGTGCATACCTTTCACCATGCCAAAGGGCTTTACCTCTTGGCCACTCTCCAGCACCTTGGTAAGATTTTTTTAAATGTTAGTATAACCCATGTAAAAATTCATTAAAGAATTTTACTATAGGAGCAATAGTTTCTTCTATTCCCCCTCTTTGCCTATCTCTTGCCCTCAAAAAATGGCCTGTATTTAGATTTGCCTTTCATTCTTTTCCTCTTACTTGCAAGCAGAACTCCTCTTGATATATCTAAACAAAAAGCACAATTGAGGTGAATTTGATTGAGACTATAACATTGATATCTCCTTGCCTTAAGCCCTTTATCCACAACTTTCCTATCAAAGTTTGCTTATTAACATCTGTATATCTCTATTTGGGAATTTCAGATATTTGCTTTCTTTTGTTTTTCTCAAATTTTATATTAAATATCCCAATACATAACCAAAGGTTTAATGGACTTATGTAAAGAGGCCTACTGTAAGCATGATATTTTGCCTTTTTGAGTGATAGAAAAATTGCATTGTATTTCATGATTTATCCATGGTTGTTTTTATATGAAAACTACTTACAACTATTTACCATTGAATAAAAATCATATCCTGAAAGATGTGCTACAGCTATTCTGTATTCTGGTACATCCCACCTCTGAGCCTAGCCCACACCACCCAACCCAATTTGAGATATCTATATCCATCTAGATATAAGGCTGCTCTTACTCAGAAAAGATGCAGATGAGGCCTCCAGCTGTCTCCCAGATGAAGTGGGTAGGAAAGAGCAGAAAGTTCTTAACACACATTTCAAGGCTCATGTTATCACTTATTCATCTTTGTATGGAGTTATGGCACCCCTACTCCAGTTTCATAATTACTTTTAATTTGGCTGGACCTTAAGATAAGATCTAGGAAAAAGGATGGGGGGAGGAGAGGGAATCAAAATAGGAGAGAACCAATTAAGGATAATTTCTTCCTCCAAGTTCTTTGTAATGTGGCATCTAATACAGTAGCCACTATCCACATATGTCTATATTCAGTGGCTGGTGCAACTGAAGAATTTTTTACTTTAAATTGAAAAAGTGAAGGAGTATAAAATATTTTCCCTTATACACAACTTTATTTTTTATAGGACTTACATTTCATGTGAACTGTTAATTTACATTTCATGTAAATTGTTTAAAAAAGCACCATAATTGTAAATAAGTGTAAATAACACACTAGATTTCAAATATTTAGAATATAAAATATCTTATTAATTTTTATATTGATTACCTGTTAAAAATGATATTTTGGATATATTGGTTTGCCTTTTCTTTTTAAATGTGGTTCTAAAATAGTGTAAAATTATATATGTGGCTCTCATTATATTGGACAGTGCTGCTCCAGCCTCACTACATCCAATCTTATTTTCCATTCCTTCCTTCAGCAGGGAAATTTCTGAGGGTCAGGAAGGAGAATCTGAACCTAAATCCTTGAACACCAAGGGAGGCATGGCTGCCTGGGTCACTGTGAGTCATGGATTCAGAGGTTCTCATTAGGATCTTAGAGTAGTATACTGCTTTGCCCATTCATACCTCCATTTCCCAAGTACCCTAAAAACACACTGACCACAGAAGTAATACTAACTAGTATCTATGTTTAGTAATCACCACCAAAGTAATGTTCATGTATATGGTTAAATACTGATGGATTAACTTTGTTTCAGATTTTATTAGATCATAACACTGTATATTCATATACATTTATTATCAGCCATTCCAATAGGATGATCATATACTCAAAATGTTTAAAAATAGAACAATTTATGAAACTGTCATACATTTCTTTGCTAGAATTATTTTCAACTAGTCAATAAATACCAATAAATGCTATTGAATAAGCAACTGTAACAAAAAAAGGAATTTACAGATATTTTTATGGAAAGGGTTGCTTTTCAGTACAACACTTGACATCAGTAATTAAGTTCTAGTTGTTAGACAAGTTTCAAGTCTCAATTTATCACCTATTTATCTTTCTATGGAGTTTATAGTACCCCCACCCCAACTCCATAATTACCTCCAATTTAGTTGGACCTCAGGATCTAAGAAAAAGAATAGGGGGAGAGGAGTGAAACATAATAAAGGAAAGAGAATTATGGAACCAGTTAAGTTCTATAATTGGTGATAGTTTGCCTTATTCTATAAAATAATTTGAGGGTGGTGTTTAACAACCATGTAATAAAATTATGCCAGTTCAAGCAGAATAAAAAAAAATCAGGTAAAAAGAACACCACAAATAGATAATGAACGCAGCATGGTTTTTATACTTTCAAATTTAGTTCTAATTCCAGAATAGTCGAAGCAAAGTGGTATACAGTATCTGATTATTTGGGAAGAGAAAGTATATTAGCTACCCAAAAGAAGCATAGCTTTTCCTGGCACTGAATTCTAAAAGCAATTTCTAATGTGAGTCACTATCACAAATAACATTTTAAATAGCAAGTTCAGTAACAGTTCAGATGACTGCTTCCGGTAGATTACTCAATTAGTTTTTATATAGAAATGAATGAATGTGATAAATAATTAATGTTTTATTTTTACAGGAATCTTGGGGAACCAAAATGAGGCACAATCAGATGTGTTGTGAGACACCACCTACTGTCACTGTTCACGTAAAATCAGGGCCGAATAGATCACATCAGCCTAAAAAAACCATTAATCTGAAGCGTCCTATTTTTAAAGATAGTTGGCAAGCATCTGAAAAAAATGCATATAATAACAAATCTAAACGCCCTAAAGGACCTTGTCTGGTTATACAGCGTCAGGAAATGACTGCTTTCTTTAAATTATTTGGTAGGTTTAAAATATCTAATAGTGTAATTATAAAATATGTTAAATTATAAACATATATTTTATCATTTTCATAGAGACCTAAGAGAATAATATTATTTTCTGTGTCAAATGTTCCATCTCCAACCAAGTTTGCATTTGTTTTTACTAGTCTTTTTTTAAATGTTGAAGTTTTGATTGCTTTTCTTGCTAATGGATTAAAAATTCAGATTCATCTAAAATGAGCAGTACACATATGTAATTCCAGTAACTCAGGAGGCTGAGTCAGGAGGATCAAAAATTCAAGACCAGTCTCTGCAATTTAGTGAGATCCTGGGGATGGAGCTCAGTTCCCAGTACCAAAAATTAATTAATTCAGACTCATCTAGCTTCTAGACTACTTAAATCCAAGTGAATCAAATGTAGATTATGAGCACTTTCGGATCATAGCATGAGTTTTATTTGACATAAAGTAAAATAATACATGAAGACTCAAGTGAGCTACCAACCCAGGCTTAAGGGTTTCCCAGGACTTTCACAGCTAAAACCAAGCAAATGGATGTTGGTTTCTCTAGAAAAGTTCAGTATTACAAGTATTATATCTTGGGAATATTATAAAAAATTAACAAATGTTTTATCATGTTCACATAAAATTTGAGTTTGAATTTGTTCAAATCATGAGACAATGCTCCTATGCTGATAAATTCTGTAATAGGCAAAAAGAATCTTCTTTATAGTACTTCTACTAGCCAAGAAAGAACAGGAATCTTTATTTGGAGATATGGTAAGTAAGGTAGACAGATTAGAAAATGGGGTAGGCTACATGGGTTCTGGGAAGTACCTTTGGGAATGAATAAAGTCAATTGATACTGTAATTTGGTGGACATAGGTAACAGTTCTCCTTGTTTATAGAGGAAAGCCAGTTGCATTAAGGCAAGCTGGTTAAGATATAAAGAAACCAATGAAAAAAGTGAGATCTTTAAAAAGAAGAAGGAAAAGGAAATATATATAAGGAATAAAAGTAGAAGAAGATATAAAAAAAAATGCTCCTCATCAGGAATTATAATGTTAACACAAGTTTCCCTTTCTCCTTATTAAGGATAGGACATAGGCTGGGGTCATAGCTTAGTGGTAGAGCATTTGCCCAGCGTGTATGAGGCATTAGGTTTGAGTGTCAGCACTGCATATAAATAAAAACATAAAGGTCCATTGACAGCTAGAAAAGTGTGTGTGTGTGTGTGTGTGTGTATATATGTATGTGTGTATATGGGTGACAGTGACAAAAATTGGGGAACATAGCTCAGTGGTGGTGCTTGCTTAGCACATGTGAGGCCCTGGGTTTGATCCCCAATACCACAAAAAAATTTAAAAATTGTATAGGATAAAATTATTTCTTATAAACTTCTTTAGTACTGATAACTGGTCATCAGATACATGAGAAAATACCTACTGTTAGCTTTGGTAACAAGAAATAAAAATGGAAGCTCGTGTGGTGGCACATACTTGTAATCTCAGCAACTCAGGAGGCTGAGTAAGGCAAGAGGATTGCAAGTTCGAGGCCAGTCTCTGCAATTTAGCAAGACACTATGTCAAATTTTAAAAGGGCCAGGATGTAGCTCAGTGTTAAAGTACCCCTGGGTTCCATCCCTAGTACCACCCCCTCAAAAGCCAAAAATTAATTCTCAGGAAAATCAGTAGTTATTCTTAGAACTTTCCAAAATTTTATTACATTGATGATATTTGTAGCATGTAAAATGACTATAAAGGAATTATGCTTTGTTATATAAAATGTGGGGTGGGAGAATGAGCTGGGCCCAATGCTGCATGCCTTGTAATCTCAGCTAGTTGGAAAGCTAAGACAGGAGATGACAGATTCAAGGCTAGTCTTGGCAATTTAGACCCTATCAATATAAAAATAAAAAAGGCTGGACTGTATCTCAGTGGAAGAGTGTCCCTGTGTTCAATCCCCCATACCACAAATTAAATAAATAAATAAAAATAAAAGGAAAGGGTAGGGGAATGCAAAAAAGCAGATTTTCCTAGATTATATCCTAAAAACTACCAATATATTTTGAGATTATGTATTTTCACCTTTAGTATTTATGTTTTCCCAAATTAAATATTAATTATAAATAGTAAATTTTGAACCTCTTTTTTTTATAAATATTTTCATATGTATTTGAATAATAGATAAGTGAAACAGATAAATAAAAGAGAAAATCCAACACTAAAATCCCTGGAAACTGAAAGGAAGTATTCATGCTGGGTACAACACTTATAATCCCAGCAGCTTGGGAGGCTGAGGATCATAAGTCTAAAGCCAGCCTCAACAATTTAGCAAGGCCCTAAGCAACTTAAGCACCCCTGGGTTCAATCCCAGTTACCAAACAAAAAACCAATAAAACAGTATTCATTAAATAATTTGTTTAAAGCTGAATTATCTATCAGTTTTCATTTCCAACTGTACTTTGGAACCAGGCACAGTGGTGCATGCCTGTAATCGCAGTGGCTCTGGAGGCTGAAACAAGAGGATCTCACAAAGCCAGCCTCAGCAATGGCAAGGCACTAAGAAACTCAGTGAGAACCCTTGACTCTAAATAAAATACAAAATAGGGCTGGGAATGTGGCTCAGTGGTTGAGTGCCCTTCAGTTCAATCCCCAGTACCCCCCCCCCCAAAAAAGTTTGATTTTGGAAAGAAATGATGAGCTAGAATTACATAATATGCTATTAGGTAGTCAATAAACAAAACACATACCATTCTCCCTTAAAGCTGAGCTTCATACATAGGGAGGGGAGGCAAATCAGATGGAAAGATAAAAGATAAGGCAGTAGCTTTTTGTATGGTACTTGCTATAGCAAATATGGTAACTACTGACAATTACACCTTAGACTACACTGGTCTAGCCATTTTTGTTGGATTTCTAAGCATCATTTATAATATCTTGATATAGAAAGTAAGTCTTCAAAAGGAGATATTTTATTATTAAAAGGTAAGTCATAGCTGTGTTTTGTTGTAGATGATGATTTAATTCAAGATTTCTTGTGGATGGACTGCTGCTGTAAAATTGCAGACAAGGTAAATTTGGTAACAATATAAATCATTAGCATTTATTATGTTACTAGATCATCAGAACTTTAATAAAACACTAAGAGCTTATTTTACTAAGACTAGGAAAACAGACTGCATTGTTTCTTCAACACAAAATCCTTACACCTTAATTTTTGGAATAATATACTACATAGATTTCAGTGAATATTATTGATTAGATTTAAATGAAGTTTATATCTAAGTTTATATCTTTTATTGAAAACAAGAATCAATATAGACTTGATACATTTTTATTAGAATTATTACCTTTTATCAGGCTGCAGGGAAAATATTTTGAGATTCACTCCTTTTGTAGCAGTTTCTTAAACATTTGAATATTTGAATATTTTATTAAGATAAAACAAGGGCTGGAGTTGCGGCTCAGTGGTAGAGCACTTATCTAGCATGTGTCAGGCACTGGGTTCAATATTCAGCACCACATATAAATAAAGAAAAATAAAAAGGTTTAAAAAAAAGAAAGAAAGCTATAATTGAAAAAAAAAAAGATAAAACAAACAAATAGGTATAATCTCAGTGATTCCAGAGGCTGAGGCAGGAGGATTGTAAGTTCTAGACCAACATCAGCAATTTAGCAAGATCCTGTCTCAAAATTAATAAAAAGGCCTGAGAATGTAGTCAGTGGTAAAGTGCCCCTGCACCTGCTGCCCCGCACCAAATCTCAATGATTTTGTAGGGTAAAATTAGTTTATCATGTTTTTTATTTAGGGCTATTCAAGTTTACATAATATCTAACTTACATTCTCAGAACAATGCTGTTTTTATGCTTTTTTCTTTAATAAAACAGTGGAATACATTACAACTCATATATAGAACTCAATTTTTCATATCTCTGTATACGTAGTAATTCACACAAATTCGTGTCCCATACGTGTACTTTGGATAATAATGATCATCACATTCAACCATCATTAATTACCACATGCCCACTCCCTTCCCCTCCCACCCCTCTGCCCTATCTAGAGTTCATCTATTCCTCCCATGCTCCCCCTCCCTATGCCTCTATGAATCAGCTTTCTTAAAGAAAACATTCTGCATTTGTTTTTTTTGTGATTGGCTAACTTCACTTAGCCACATTTTTATGCTCTGTTATTAGACAAAAGAGAATTGTTTCTATGCTTTTTGAGTTAGCTAAATAGTTACAATTTCAGCTTTGTAAGTGCCATTTTAGACTAGGCAGTCATGTTGACAGTTCAGCATACTTCACATCACACTTTAAATGTGTAATCAAAAGGAATGATTGGAAATTTAGCTTATGATTAAGTACTACTAAGTATTGAAGTGAATGTTTTTACTTCCCACTTAAGATGGCAAAGATAAAATGAAAAGTGTTTATTTTAAATTTTGGAAACTTCATTTTTGAAAATTCCAAATATATACAACTTAAAGTAAATCATATTGTATGAAGGCCCACTGGGTACTTCTCATCTGGCTACCACAGTCATGAATTCATGGCCATTTTTGTTTCTTCTAAATCCCTGCCCTTGAGACTGGATTATCTTCAGGCAAATTGCAGACATCCTAGCCTTTAATCCATAAATATTTTTAAATAAAGGATTTTAAAACATAATCACAATGTCACTAACACTTTAAAATTTACAGTAATGTTTTAATATCAAATATCCATTTTCTGTGGAATCGTTTTTTTAAACTTTATGGCTTTTTTTATGCATTAAAGTTGTGGACAGCAGGGGGCAGTAGTTGAAAAGAGAACTGTATCAACACTACTTTAATAATCCTTTACCAGAAGTCACATGAAAACTTGGAATCACCTTGGTGCCCAATACTGTGACTATAAGATGAATGGGTATTTTATGAGAAAGAAAATATTACAATTATAACTTGTTTGTAATTTGAATAGTAAGATCCTGTTGTGTTCTAATAACAGGTTAGCCATGTAGCTTTCTAATAATACATTTAAAATATGTTTTCCCCGTGGGAGTGGAGTCATCTTATTCTAATTTCTTGAGTTATTTAGAAAACTCCTGAAAGTTACTTGAAAAATAAGTATCAGGGTTCAGTGGTAGAGCATATATTTAGCATACATGATGCCATATATTTAGCATACATAATCACCAGCACCAAGAAAAAAAGGCAGGGAGGTGAGCATGGATGTCTACAAATAAAAGTTTAGAAGAAAAGTGTATTGTGTGTGTGTACACACACACACACACACACACACACACAAATATAAAGCAAATGCTGCAAAATAATAATTTGTGAGTCTATATGAACCATGTATAGTTACTTTAATATTACTTCAACTTATCTATAGGTTTGAATTTTAAGTTAGAAAAATGGGGTTTTAATTCAAAAAATTATTTACAAATAAAATTTAGGAGTCTTATCTAGTTAATAAATGGTCAATAACTATCACTATTGACATGGATTGATTACAGGAAACAAAAAAAGTACTCAAATTGATACTATAATAAAGATAATGCTTTTTAACTTGTTAATAAAAAAAATTTTTAATTTAACTATTTGGGGCTGGGGATGTGGCTCAAACGGTAACGCGCTTGCCTGGCATTAGCCATTCGCGGGGCGTTGGGTTCGATCCTCAGCACCACATAAAATAAAATAAAGATGTTGTGTCCACCGAAAACTAAAAAATAAATATTAATAAATAAATAAATTTAACTATTTGGACAATTTATGAAAGCAAATGTTAATTTCTAACTTTTTTCCTTATAGTATCTTTTGGCTATGACCTTTGTTTATTTCAAGAGAGCTAAATTTACTATAAATGAGCATACCAGGATAAATTTCTTTATTGCTCTGTAAGTATGCTTTCTATGATGTGATTTTATGTTATTTATAATGTATGAGATAACTTATTTAAAACAGAAGCAGTTAAAACTTTATGGATATCTTTGCTGGTGTGGTGGTGCATGCCTATAATCCCAGTGCTTTGGGAGGCTGAGGCAGGAGGATTTTGAGTTCAAAGCTAGCCTCTGCAAAAGTGAGGCACCAAGCAACTCAGTGAGACCCTGTTTCTAAATAAAATACAAAATAGGACTGGGGATGTGGCTCAGTAGTTGAGTGTCTCTAAATTCAATCCCTGATACCCAACCAACCAAAAAAACTTTGTGGGTATCTTTGAATAGACCTTCCTGTATAAAATATATGCATTTTTTTACCTTAATATGATATTTTTATGTTCTTTTCATTGAGCTTATCATGCTGCATGCCTAAGACTTATTGTTCAATATTCCTCTCGAGTTTGTATTGTGCCTTTTACAGTTTTCAGAGTGTTCCCATATACATGATCTCAAATTCTCTTCTTTATGACTTAAATTAAAAAAAAAAAAAAAAAAAGCTAGGATTTTGCCGGGGCTGTGGCTGGGTGGTGGAGTGCTTGCCTGGCAAGTGTGGGGCACTGGGTTCAATCCTCAGTACCACATAAAAATAAATAAATGGATTAAAGGTATTGTGTCCATCTACAACTAAAAATATTTTTTTAAAAGCTAGGAGATTCTCTTTTAAATTTCCAGTTAATATACAATAAAAATCATTACTATCATTGCCCTTTTACATTGAACATTTTGTGGGAAATAAGTCTAGACATACTCTTTTGTGTATCTATGTCTATAAGATAGCAGTCATTCATGTTTAATTCTTTTGGTATCCACTGACTATTTTACTGAACACAGTGAACAAAGGAATATAGTTTGTTTTCCATTAACTTTGTGTTAGTTCATGTAAACTTTGTGATCTGTTAAATGATTTTAATGATGTGATTTTCCAATCTGTAAGTCAGAATTCAGCTAATAGAAATGTAATTTTAAAATATATTTTGGAGGGGCTGGGGATATAGCTCAGTTGGTAGAGTGCTTGCCTTGCATGCACAGGCCCTGAGTTCCAGCACCACACAAAAAAACCATACACACACACACACACACACACACGTATATGTACGTGTGTGTGTGTGTGTGTGTGTGTGTGTGTGTGTGTGTGTATGGGCTGGGGTGTTGCTCATTGGTAGAGTACTTGCCTAGCATGTGTGAGACCCTGGATTCAATCCCCAGGACAAAAAAAAAATTATATATATATATATATATATATATATATATATATATACACACACACACACACACACACACACATACACACACACACACTATACATACATACACACACACACACACATTTTTTTTGTTTTCTATCTTATATCTGGATATAATGCAACATCAAACTTACAGTATCTATCAACATCAAAGAGTAAGTTTTTACCTAAAGTCTATTTTAATTTGGAATTAGAGTTATTAAAGAAAAAAAGAGTTATTAAAGGCATAAGACTAGAAGAAACTGACTGTTGCACTTATTAAAGAGACATACTTTCCAATACATAGGAAAAAGTGAACTCAAATTTAAAATTTGGTGATGATCGCTAAATTGGAAGAATATAATAGTATTAGCAAATACTGAGTATTACATACAAAGCACCATGACATTTTTTATATATTAATATATTTAGTTTTCCCTGTGAAATAATTTTTTCTGAGACAGGGTCTCACTGTGTTGCTTAGTTGTTGGCCTTGAAATCGTAATCCTTCTCCGTTAACCTCCTCAGTAGGTAGGATTATAGGTTTAGTCACCATGCCTCCTTGAAATGCATTTTTTTTAAATCACCAGTTTACAGATGAGGAAACAGACTCAGAAAGATTAATTATTTTCGAAGATCACGAAAGTTAGTAAGGAGCAGAGATGAGGTACAAATTCAGCTGTGATTTACCAATAGTCAAATTCAGCCATTGACACCAAGTTAAATGGCTGTTTACATGTCTCAGTATTATATCTGTATGTTGATATAATATCTTTTATAGTTTTTTCTCACCTGAGAATTTTTTTAAAACCTGGAACTTTAAATCTTACTAGAAGCCTTAAATTGGATTTGTTTCACATGTTTTGTAAAGTTATCATTAAAGCACTTGTCAGCATGTACTATGTAGTGAGTAGTCTGTAGGTTGCATCTCATGTTGTAATATAAGTTCTATGTTAAAAATAACATGAATTATAATTTCCATTCTATGTCTAGTCATAATTTTTTGTATAGCCTGACTCAGTAGTTCCTATATTTTCTATTAGCTACAGTTCTAAAACTGAATTTCTTTTCCTTTCTATATAATCTTAGTTTCCTTTCAATATATTCTTATAACACTCTGAACTTCTATTATCACTCTTCCATATTCTCTTTCATGGTTTTTTGTTTCATATTTACTTGCCTCCTCTACTTAACTGCTCCTTAAGATCAAAGAACATGTATTTTTTTTCCCCACATAGGAAGGGTTACATTCAGGGCCTCAGTGTTAAGAAAATGCTCTACCAGTGAGCTACATCCCCATTCTTTTTTAAAATTTCATGTTGAGACAGTCTTGCTAAATTGCCCAGGCTGACCTCAAATTTGCAATCCTCCTGCCTCAGCCTCCTGAGCAGTTGGGATTACACATACTCCCTACCACACCCAGTTCATTTATCTTTTTTTTTTTTTTTAATTTCATCCTTCAATGACTACAATAGGAAGTTCTTAATTCTTTACTTGAATAAACATAATTATTACGCAAAAGAAATGGACTCTGCACCAAGGAAATCTGTTTCAAGTTGGAGGATATCTTCCTCATATGTGATAGAGATTTTGTCATACTGAACATGAAAAAATTGTTAATGTAGAGTAGAATCATGATGTGATCCCAATATGGCTCCAAAGTACATTATAGATTTTTGATATTTTTCAGATGTATTTATCCCCTTATTTTAACAGGGTACTTTTTAAATTTTCTGCCCATGATTCCTTGTTCCCTATGTATTTTGTAATATTTTTGTTGTATATTACCCATCTTTCCTGAAAAATCAACTATGGGGCTTGCATTATTTCAGATGGCAAATCTGCTCCATCCTTAACTTTGTTCCTGTATTATCTAACATGTCTCATATTTTTTCTGACTGCTTTTAATATTTTTTATCATTAGTTTTGAGCAATGTACTTTGGTATAATTTTCTTCATGTCCATTTGGCTTTGAAGATTTATAATTTTCATCAAATTTTTAAAATGTTCAGCCATTATTTCTTTAAATATTTTTCTGCATACCCACTGACTTAAGAGACTCTAATTTCACCTTTATTAGACTTTTGGGGGTTATCCCACATCTAAATGACGCCCTGTTCATGATTTTTGTTCCTTTTTTTTTCTCTGTGTATGTCATTTCAAATAGTTTCTGTGCCTTCAATTCACAAATCTTCTATAGTATTTAATCTGCCATTAATTCCAGTATAATTTTCTTCTTCTTCTTTCCTCCTCTTTCTCTCCTCCTTTTTTCCTTCTCCTTCCTCCTCCCCCTCTTTTGCTTCCTTTTTCTCCTCCTTCCTCCTTCTCCTCTTTTGCTTCCTTTTTCTCCTCCTTCCTCCTTCTCCTTCTTCTTATTCCTCCTCCTCTTTCCTCTTCTTTCCCCTCCCTTCTTCCCTCCTTCCCTTCTTCCCTCCTCCCTTCCTCCCTTCCTCCCTTCCTCCCTCCCTCCCTTCCTTCCTTCCTTCCTGGCTTCAAACTCACAATCTTCCTACCTCAGCCTCCCTAATAGCTGGGACTACAGGCATCATTTAGTGTAGTTTCATCGTATTTTCATGTCTAGACACACATTTTCAATGTCTATATTTTGAGCATATGGATTAATTTTAACTTTAAAAATATTTTTCAGTAGATGGACATAATACCTTTATTTTATTTATTTTTATATGGTGCTGAGGATTGAACCCAGTGCCTCACACATGCCAGGCAAGTCCTCTACAACTGAGCCACAACTCAGCCCTAATTTTAACTTCTAATGCCCTTGTTTAGTTTTGATTGATTGGTTATTCTTATTATGGATTGTTTTCCTTCTGTGCATGCCTGGTCCCTCTCAAATATTTGATAGAATTCTGATCTCCATTCATGTATACAGAAACTACTTGAGTCTAGGGAAAGATTATTTTAAAAAATATTAGGAAACAGTGTTTAACATTCATTCACATAGAGCTGGAACGATGTCTGTTTCTACCAACCAGACTGAAAATTCTTAATTTATGAATTTTTTTTTTTTAATTTTTTTTTAATATTTATTTTTTAATTTTCGGCGGACACAACATCTTTGTATGTGGTGCTGAGGATCGAACCCGGGCTGCATGCATGCCAGGCAAGCGCGCTACCTCTTGAGCCACATCCCCAGTCCCTAATTTATGAAGTTTTAAGAACTCAAGAACTCAGGAAGTTCTTGCCTCAGGTAGTTATCAGTAATTAGCCTCAGACTCAACATTGCTCCAGATACATATAAGAAATAATAAAATCAGGACATGGAAGGATCCAGTTGTTTCCAAGTAACTTAACTGCATCCCAATATGAAACTTAAGATTTATAGGAGTACAAAAATACCCAGAACCCAACAAGGTAAAATTCCCTATATCTCTATTTTTGGTATGCCTTTCTTTAAATTATGAGTAAAGTTGAACATCTTATATGTGTTTAAAAGCCATTTGTATTTCATTTTGTTGTTGTTAACTATTCTTTCTGTCCTTGCCCATTTCTTTTTTGGGTTATTGGTCTTACTAGGTATCTGGCTAATACAGTTGAAGAAGATGAGGAAGAATCCAAGTATGAAATTTTTCCATGGGCTCTAGGGAAAAACTGGAGAAAACTGTTCCCTAATTTCTTAAAGTTGAGGGACCAACTCTGGGATAGAATTGATTATAGGGCTATTGTAAGCAGACGATGCTGTGAGGAGGTAAGGACTTTAAAATGCTTACATATGTTACCTTTGTCTTCTGTTTATTTAATTTTCCTTTCTTTTTAATATGGTTTTAATGTTTCTTTTTTGTTTTGTAAATGTAAGCATATATAATAAACCTGACCATTACTATGTCTACCATTTCTGAATTACCTTATTGGTATTTGAATTTGTGTCATAATAATTAAAAATTGTCATTTCTGTTTTTCAGAGCAGGCTACTCCTATAGTACTTTTATTTTAATGTGCTTCTCGTTCCTAGAAGATCACCAATATATTAGGAAAGAGTGGTGTGAGCATACCAAAATAAATGCTTATTAAGGATTGTAATAACTCTGGAATTGAATCAACAATTTATGCTAAATATGTGATATTTCAAGTTCCCAAGATTGAAGTATATAATTTAAATTAAATATTTTTTAAACCCATATCTCTATTCACATAGAATACGTTGTTTCCTTGATGTTAGATTTCAAGGTAAACCAAAAGGACACTAAAAATTTTAAAGTCAATTATTTGATCAAATGTTTTGGTTTTTAATAAAGAAAGCTAATGTTTCAAACTAAAGGAAAATTTGAGAGAAAACTAAATGGAGAACAGTGATCACTGTAAGCTCTTGTATTAGTTTAGAAATTTTGATAAATGTAAGGTAGATTAATTTATCACTAAGTTAAATCCTATACAGTTAAATGATTATGGGCCAAAAGGAACCAATTAAAAGATTAGTGGCAAACCTAAGTGAAGACTTCAGTGGTATGTCACAGAATTTTGCCTAGAACCAATCTTGTTAATTATATTTATTAATGAATGAAGATAAAACAGACATGCATATTTATAGGATAAATTAAGAGGATTGTTGACTCTTGGGAAAAGATTCAGAAGTAACTTAAAAGAATACACAGTAAGTCAAGCTTTTACAAGATTAAATTCAGTAGATGAAAAGTTGGATGTATGAGGTCCCTTCAAATTAATGGATCCTCATTAAGGAATTTAAATTGGACTCATTCCAATTACAGAGCATTGGAAGAGTACTGTATTTTCACTTTGTCATTCCCTCCCCAATTTAAGAGTGGATAATTTGCATATCTGTTGTCATCCTTATGGACTATATTTGAACACACTAATTTTTTCAAAGTAAATGCTTCAGAACCTGTGAGACACCCAGCTAAAAGAATAGAAGGGGGCTAGCTCAGTTGGTAGAGTACTTGCCTCAAATGCCCAAGGCCATGGGTTCAATCCCCAGCAACACCAAAAAAAGAGAGAGAAAGAGCGCATGTGTGCGTACCAGTAACAAGACTCCAGGAGGACTGGCAATACTTTATCTGATGACTGACCACCCCACTACTTTCTAGACATTTTCACACCAGCAGGGTTAATATACTCTATTAGAGCTGGAAACATCTTATCTGCTGTACCAGACTGTAAAAGAGCCAAAGAGAATGCTGTGGCTTAATAGTGTGGACTTTATAATGAAGCTCTGAAAATTACCCATGAGTTTCCTCAGTTTTTTCCTTTAGGGGTTGCACAACATGATTGATCTTAATGAATTTTCTTGTGATTGCAAGTGGCTATGATAAAGACTATTAAAGGAGGCCTCACTTGTTTGATGGAGAGGCTCATATGATTTCTAATATTTAATTTGCTCCATTTAAATTTTCATTTACTCAACTTTAGACATTCTAATCTGCATTTTTGTTGGAACTGATAAATTGACTGTTCTCACCCAAGTCCTTTTATAAACTATTGCCACTCCAGTATGTGGTCAGATAAGATCAGAGTCAGAGCAGTTTACACAACTGCTATTTTACTAATTAAAAATTTTAAATAAAAAAATAATGTGAATATAAAAGATTAAAATATTATAGACAGCTGAAAATTTAGTTTTGGAATGGGACTTCCAGGAAGTTTAGACTTAAGCTGCAGAAAAGAGGTAATCATCAGATTATAGCTAAAGTATTGCATTTAGTTCTGCATACCACACTTGAAGAATATTGAAGAACAAATATATAGAGAGAGGAGAGCAACTAGAATAGAGCAGGGTCTCAAAAGAAAAATGTCATATGTAGAATAACAAAAAGTAGAGATTTTTAGTATGAAGAAGAGAAGATTTCGGAAGCTTACTAGCTGCTTTCAGATATTTAAAGTACCATAGCAGGACAGAAAATATATGTGAATTTTCTTTTTGGAATGTAAGCAGAGGATTAAGATCTGTAGATGGAGAACTAAAATTCAATAATAATCGTTCAGTTGTTCTAACAGTTATGTGAAAATGAGATAGACTGTTCGAGAGGCAGTGATTTCTGTGACTGATGACTTTTTAAAAACAAGCAGTTGATTGTTATAGAGAAGATTCATCCTTTAGGTAAGCAATTAAACTAAAGTTTTTCCTAACTTTAAATTTTGAGAGTTTAAAGGTATATAAATTTTTATTGCCTGAGCTTTTCCTGGGCAAGCTAGCTTGTTCCTTAATGTTTGATAGAACTCATTCATTCATTAAGTACATACTGATTTATTGATTATGTAGTAAGTCTACCAGATCCTTTATATTGCTTTTAACTTAAAAATGCTTAAAGCAAAAATAGCAGTAACATCCATTCATTCTAGGTCGTAGAAATATGGATGCATGATTGTTATTGTATCCCTTATGCTTTTTCATATGTCAACATTTAAAAACTGTTTTTAAACTGATAAAGAAAAACACAAAAATTGTACATATTAATGGGATACCATGTGATGTTTTCATTACATGATTTCATTGTATAATCAGGTTAGACATATCTATCTCTTCACAAACATCACTTTTAAAAAAATATTTATTTTTTAGTTGTAGTTGGATGCAATACATTTATTTTATTTATTTATGTGTGGTGCTGAGGATCGAACCCAGGGCCTCGCACATGCTAGGCAAGCACTTTACCACTGAGCCACAGCCCAAGCCCCCGCATTTATCACTTTTTTGGGGCAAAAATATTTCAAAATCCTTTTTCTAAACAACAAAAAAATCCTTTCTTCTAGCTTTTTGATCAAAAAGTTCACCTTATTTAAATCTGCTTAATCCCTTTATCCTCTATCACAATATCTTATTTGTTTCTATAGCACTGAACAAATTTTGTAGTTATTTACTTGCCTATTGTTTAAACTATAAACTGAATATTTTATGAAGTCAAACATATTACACTTCTAATATCTCCCATTTCTGTTCTCACACTCAATTGGTAACAATAATGCATTCTCTTTAACTGAGAAAATAAAGCAATCAGAAAAGAATGTCAACATACAGCAAATCTGTCATTCTAACTGTATGTTTACCTATATATTCTGCCTCCCTTCAATATTGTGGAAGAACCATCTTTGCTCCTATCCAAGTCCATTCCCTCTATTTGTGCACTAGATCTCATTTTTTCTTGCTTTTTTCATAACATCACTCCAGTAATCGTCTCCCTTTCCAGCATTTCATATTTTGTTTTACTAGACCACTGCCATCAGAATACAGAATTGCTCTAAGATTGTCACCAACTTAAACAAATTAAAAAGTTTCATCCCCCAGCTACATTTCTGTGCCCTGCCTCTTTTAATTAAACCCCGTAAAGAGTTTGTACTCTGTCTCTACTTCCTTCATTTCCATTCTCCTTGAAACTATGTAAAGTCTTTCCCATCATTACACAAAAACTTTTCAAGGTATCAAATAGTTCTGAATTGCCAAATCTGAAGTTCTTAGCCCTCAACTTAGCAGCAGCAATTGGTAGATGTCATTTATCCCGATATTCTCTTGGTTTCAAGGATATCAGGTTTTTCTTTTTCAGGCCTATTTGTCAGTTCCTTTCCACCTCACTAATCTCATTAGAATGCCCCAGGGCTCAGGGTCCTAGGAGATGACTTCTCTCTTCTACTGATAGTACTAATATCATTCATTCCCAAAGCTTTAATGAGGATAGCTAACATCTCTTCCACATCCTGGTCTGCATATCAAATTGCTTGTTCATATTTTATTGCCTAAATAATAACCCAGACTTAACATGTTTAATACTGAACTCCATATTTCTCTACACAGACCTCTAAACCTTTTATTCCTTACTGTCATCCATATGTTAGTAAAATGCAACTAAAACTTTTAGTTGTTCAGGCCAAAAAATTGTTATTGTTGATTCTTTTTTCCTTTTTCTCACATCCATACTTGAAAAAATGTCATTTCTTATAAACCCCACCACTAATATCCTACTGTCATCTTTTGCCTTGATTTTTTCCATAACCTTCCCAATGGTCTTTCCTATAACCTTTCTTCCCTATACTTTTTTTGTTCATACAGCAACTGAAGTAAATCTTCTAAAAAATAAGTGAATCATGACTCTTTTCATCAAAAGCCCCCAGTGGCTTCTCATCTCATATAGGGTAAAAGGCAAAGTCCTTATGGTTCTACCAGCTCTCCTTTCTTATCACTTTGACCTCATCTGCTATCCTTGCCCACTCTACTCCAGCTACACTGGCCTCCTTGCCATACTCTTCAAATACACCAGGCTCATTCCTACCTTAGGTTCTCTGCACTTGCTGTTCTCATTACTTAGAATGCTCTTTCCCTAGAATTGAATATGCTTCACTTCCTCACTACATCCAGGATTATGCTTAAATGTCACCTTAAAGAGATCTTTCCCTATGCTACATAAGGTAATATTCCCTCAAAGTAGTATTGAAGTGTCTAGAAAGCAACCATCACTATTTTGTTCAATTGAATTTTGACAAGGTTGTCAAGAGAATTCAATGGGGGACAAATAATATTTTTTTTTCAACAAATGGTGCTGGACAACTGACATGCAAAAGAATGAAGTTGAGTACCTCCCATATACTATATATAAAATTTAACTCAAAATGAATCAAAGACATAAAAGTCCAAATTAAAACTGTAAAACTCGTAATTAAAAGAAAATGTAGTGATAAATCTTAGTGACCTTGAATTAGGTTTCTTAGATATGAGACCAAAAATACAAGCAACAAAAGAAAATA